AGAACATCTGGACCTACACCAGAACATCTGGACCTACACCAGAACATCTGGACCTACACTGAAACATCTGGGCCTACACCGCAACATCTGGTCCTACACCGGAACATCTGGGCCTACACCGGAACATCTGGACCTACACCAGAACATCTGGACCTACACCAGAACATCTGGACCTACACTGAAACATCTGGACCTACACTGGAACATCTGGGCCTACACTGGAACATCTGGGCCTACAGTGGAACATCTGGGCCTACACTGAAACATCTGGACCTACAATGGAACATCTGGGCCTACACCGAAACATCTGGACCTACAATGGAACATCTGGGCCTACACTGAAACATCTGGGCCTACACTGGAACATCTGGGCCTACACTGGAACATCTGGACCTACACTGGAACATCTGGGCCTACACTGGAACATCTGGGCCTACAGTGGAACATCTGGGCCTACACTGGAACATCTGGACCTACACTGAAACATCTGGGCCTACAGTGAAACATCTGGGTCTACACCGGAACATCTGGGCCTACACTGGATCTGGGCCTACACTGGAACATCTGGACCTACACTGGAACATCTGGGCCTACACTGGAACATCTGGTTCTACACTGGAACATCTGGGCCTACACTGGAACATCTGGACCTACACTGGAACATCTGGGCCTACACTGGATCTGGGCCTACGCTGGAACATCTGGACCTACACTGGAACATCTGGACCTGCACTGGAACATGTGAACCTTGTTGGACACCAGCCTACAGGAAACATGTTTATAAAATGTAAATATGAAGATCCAGATGTTTTCGTCCCACATTAGTTTGTTTGTTGAGGCAGAAGGTTTTACAGAACCTTTGAAGAACGGTACCTTGTACGTGACGCAGATGCTGGAGTAGTTCCAGGAGAAGCAGTTGTTACAGAGAGGACACATGGTGAATGTGTTCCTGCTCTCACACACCTCCTTCCTTCAGAACAGACACAGAGACCATCAGAACCAGGTCTGATATGATTACAGAGAAAAACCAGTAATGCAACAGAACACATGGTTTTAAGACTCTCTGCAGGCAGACTCACGCTGGAACATCAGTGGCTATGAGCCAAAAACCCACCAGGAAGACCAGAGTCCCAACCACAGATGCTGGTAGGAGCCACCCAGTGTAGAAACCTGTTCATGTGGACCCAGTCAGTGTTTGTGGACTCTTTAGACTCTTCAGGACCGTTACTCTCATTTCTTTACATTATTCTCCTGTCTTCTGTTCAGGTGGTCTGCATTTATAGTTTTACAAARGTTTGGCTTTTTTAGTTCTGTTTAAGTCCTTGAATCTGACCACATTCGGACATTTTGTTGTAAACGGCTGAACTTTTACAGGTAAATATAAAGAAATGAGGACTGAATCAGTACTACTGAACCATAATTACCAATCCAGGCAAAGTACAGAGCTATCTTCTCTCCAAAATACTCCCTGATGTGGTCCAGTGGTTGGTATCGAYTCCAGCGAGACCACTTGGCCCAGTATTCATACAGGATCTGTCTCAGTCCTAAAGACTCTGGAACCACTGGGGGGACGGATCTGAAATCCCCCTGTAAACACAGAGTTTAAATAAAACCAATCTTGTTCAGTTCTTAAATGTTCTGAGACTCATGTAGCTTCAGATGAGGGTTTGAGGGGTCAGATCTCACCTCGTGTAAAGGGTACGCAGCAGTGAAGACCTGCTCACTAATTAGCCGGTCTATTCCCACCTCTCCTTTCTTCAGAGAACCGTACGGAGTTCGGGCCAGGATCTCATACAGCTGCAGAACCACAAGAAAGACTGAAATGAGCTGGAAGGGTTCCTGATCAGAGGATGACTCTGGTCTAAAGTCTTTAATGTCCCGATAAAATCTTAGGGGCCCCAGAAAACCTTCATGAGGAACCCCAGATTTGATTGAGTCAATGCTGAGTCTGCATTATTTTTCAGGGTTTGTGACCTAACTACTGCAAACTTAGCGCTCATTTAACTCCTAAAACATTCAAAGCTCAGGAGACAAATGTTGAGACTTTTGATTGTTGTAACTTTTAAAAAAAAATCAATTTTATTTATGAGTAATTTACTCATAAAATACATTAAAATATATTTTATTCATTCAAAAACTTTGTTCTTTTTCAAATCTGCGTCAGAAAACTGACTTCATTTTGTC